TGTATTGTTTCTCCATCTATGCAGTTGGCAACATTTCCATTTGTTTTGACCACTGTAACTACTTCTAATAATCAATGTCAAAAAGTCTTAAATATTAACTTTCTTGATGGCAAACTTACAGTTTAAAAGGAGGACAATGAGAAAGCATTGGCCCACATTTTCCACCGGTGTTGGAAATCCGTGGATAGCTGTTTAGGGTGATCTCGTATCGTTTCCACCAAAGAAAATATGTTCCGTGCTTCAATAAATTTTAGCTTTAACATTTGCTATTTAGACACAGCTTCTAAATTAGCGCCGGAAACATTGTGCCGGTGAGCTTCAGTTGCAGCGTTAAGACGTTCACAACCTCGCAGCTCCCCTTTTCTAGTCCGTTACTTCTATTCTTCATCCATCATTCTCATTTTTCTTCTCCCTGTTCTTCCATTTAGTCTGCAACACTGAAAACATTTGGAAATGACTGAAATCGAGAATTTTAATTCTGTTTTTTTATACGTTTTTTGCAGCTACGCAATGCAAAAACTCACATTGTCGAGGGGTTGTCTGTGTGTGTGTGTCTTTGTGTATGTATGTGTGTATCTCTGTGTGTGCGTCTGTAACGAGTTTTCATCTCGAGATCCACAAAAGCTACAAGGCTGGAAATTTGTGACTTAATCCACACGTACGTGTAAGCTCGTATCCTCAAAATGAACGCTCAAGTCCGCGTGGTTCTCACGTGGGGCAAGTGAAAGTTTTTTTGGCGAGAAAGCGTTATCGGGGACGACCCATGCTAAAAGGCTGGAACTTTACAGAATTGTTCCTTGGCAGCGTCTAATCCAAAGATTTCAAATTCAGCCTTCATGCACCTTCAAGACTCACGTACGCACTTGTCAAAGTTTAAACTGGCATCATGCCAACTCCAAATTTAATGTGACCAATAAGCTGCAGAGAGCTGCAATTCTGCAGCCTTGTTGCCCACTGTTGTGTCCGTGAAAGTAAAGTACTTGTCAGCTTTTCTGCATCTCACGTACGAACACGTGTGTACACGTGAAATCTGAAGTAACTGCGCAACCAGAGCAGCTGGAGTGCTGAAACTTTCTAAGCTTTACCCAAGGACGTGTTTGAGTAACCTTAAGCAAAGGAAGTATTCACTTTATCATTCACGTACGAACAAGTGAAATATGACGTAACTCTGCAACCAGAGCAGCTAGGGTGCTGAAACTTTCTAGGCGCTACCCTGGACCGTGTTTGACCAGCCGCGGGCGAAGAATGCACTCGCGTTGCCACTCACGTGCGAACACGTGAATTTTGACGTAATTCTGCAACCAGAGCAGTTTGAGTACTGAAACTTTTGAGCACTACCCAGGGCCGTCTTTAAGTAACTCCAAGCGAAGAAAACACTCACGTTGCTACTCACGTACGAGCGCGTGGAATTTGGCGTAACTCCGCAACCGAAACATCGAGAGGGCTGAATTCTTTGGGCATGGATTGGGAATCATTATAATAATTTCTAACAGTCGTGGTGGCCAATCATAATTCATTTAGCTAGAAGCATTTGCCAGGAAGAACGTGCTACTGGCGAAAAAAAACCTGCGGGGGAACCTGTGCAAGAAACGCATCCTCGTACCGGCAGCCGGCACGCTTTCGACTAGGTTTCCTATTATGATTCAAGGGTCGTGGTATTCTTAATAACTTTGATACGGCGGGCTTAGTGTGAGACTAGTTTTGGCTATTGTTTCCATTGTTTTATGACGGAGCTATTTACAAATTGAGACTGCCTTATCTAATGGGTCTTTGCACGGAGATATCTAAAAATTATGAATAGTAAGTAAAAGTTATACTTGGCAGCAGTTGGACTGGTTGAAAAACCCCTCGTGTTTCTTACTGATTTGGCGTTGTTTCGAACAAAATTACTGCTACAACTTTTCATATCCTGCAGAAAAAGAAGGCGCTGCGGAAGATTCGGCCAAGCAACCGCTCGTAGGAAAGGATTTGCCTGTCGAAAAAGGTAAGCAATCATGAATTTGTCCAGAAGTGAGCTATTTAACACTTGACGCAGAAACTATTTGCAGGCATTAGAGACTCAACAGATGATCCACATGCTCCGCAGCATCCACTAGGTGTTCAGCATTCCTTGATGTCGGTGTCCAAAGATTTTGTGCCGCTGTCAGCCGAGAGAAGTTGGCCTTTTCTGTAACAAATTGACTTTCAAAAAGGCTTTTCAAGTAAATAAAAATCGTGTTATACCCTTTATGGTCACTAAATGTGTTTTAGAAATCATTTGAAACTAATTTCAATAGATGCTTCAACCTAAGTCCAGTAATGCTTGCGGCTTCTAAAAAGTCTGACGAAAAGTCAGAAAGTCGGAGCCATGAGTTTTTGTCAGAATATCTTCCCCGGAATTGCTAATTGTGATAAAAAATAATTCAGA